CAGACGTGTGCTCTTCCGATCTCCCCAAAACCCCAAAACCCCGCTTAAGAGAATAAGTCTGATTATAATCTAAAAGATAATCTTAGAAATAACTAATATGAAAGTGTTTTATTCTATCATTACAAGTTATTGAAATGATGCTCTTTAACTTTCAATAATTTAGCTCAGGAATATTTAAGAATTGATACCATGAATGGAGTTGTATTCCCATCATAGGTCACCATTTTAGATTTTATGACAAGCCTTTATCAATGTATCAATCATAATCTTTGGATTTCTTATTGCTCTTTAGTGTAGTAGTGTAAGAGGAGTATTTCCTTTTATTTCTTGGCAGGCGATCCACGTAATCTTGGTGCCATTATACTCTGGGCAATCCTCAAAGACGAATGCATTAATCTTTTGATTTACTCTAACGTATCTTTTGTCTGGTGGATATTCAGAATGCTCGATAGTTTTATGGTGTAATCCATAGCTGCCGCTTTAAGGGAAATCAAATTACACCTTTGACTAAACAATTAGCTCTCTTGATTACATATAACTAGGAGCTCTGATATTATAGTAGAATAATGTCGTTCCTTTTGCTAAATCTTCGTCGATTATTGTCAGATTCCAGAGAACTTCATCCCATTTTTTTCTGATGTTTATATCCGATAGGGCTTCAAAAGGAACATTTTTAGGAATATTTGGCAACAACGCTACACATTTGATTATCATTTCATCTTTTCTAAGTTCCTTTTACTTAAATACCTTAATGTAGTCGTTCTTGAACCCTATTTCCCAAAAATCATCTTTTAAATTCAGGAATTGCTAAAACTGATCAAAATCAAGATCTCTCTCTTCGATTTATATATCTTCTAAATTTTAAATCGAATGATCAGACTGGTATCTTTGTAAATTCTCCTTTGTCTCACCATAAGGTTTGATCAAGAAATCCTTTGTTAAAAGTTGCTTTATAGGAGAGTAATTAACGTGATCTTCATATATTCTATGATCTAAGTCAAGTACAAAAATCTAAGGTGCAATTAAGTGTCTTCTTGTATCACCTCCATCATTTCTAACTTCAACATTTTGCTTTTAATGTCTTAATTAAAAGTTTACTTGGAGTCTTCTGTAAATTTCTTACAATACTGCTAATCTCCTGATGTCATCATCTACAGTAACATCATTCTCAATACCATTTAAGACATCATTTACTTAGTCTGATTCATAATCAAATCTTTTGCTTTCTTCGTCATTTTCAATTTAATTGAGAAGTTCAGTGATTCTTTTAATAACTTATTTATTTTCAGTTATTGATTTCACTTTCATTGAAATTTATTCTAGTTTTTGTTTCTCTTCTTTCTAATCATCAGTCTCACCTGCTTCATTCATTACAATACTCTATTACTTGAGAGCCATCCAATTTATAGCTATTAAAGAACTAAAGAGTTCCCTAATAACACTATAAAATAGTTTATCAATGCAAAATCTTACACTAGTTTTTTAATCTATGATCCTTATTGATAAGAGTCTATATTCCTAACTTCCTCATTAATGAATCTATCACAAAACTCTTTATCAGTAAATAGTGTATCTCTTAACTCCTCAAGCAGCTGGTAGCACTTAGCAATGTCTAATTCAGGGTCAAGAGTAGTGAAAATTTCTCTGCTTAGTTATCTTATTTGATTAACAAAGTCAATATAAAGGTATTCCATCTTCTTTCTCTCTTCATAATCTTGTCCTAAAAGGGAAGTGTAATTATTAATGGATTCTCGTTATTACTTACTTTCTTGGGAAATTAGCTGAACATCTTTTTAATATTCTTGCTCACACTCTATCTCTTGTTTTTTTCTAAGGTTTTTGAAGTATGTTTTTTCTCTAAATAAGTATATAACGAATGCTCCTGTGAATATCACATCTATATTAAATAAGGATATCTAACAATAAAATTACCAAGGCCTAAAACAAAGGCAGCTGAATAGGCTTCCCATTTAAAGAGTAGTACAGATAAGAGAGTGAATAACAGAGTAGCTGAAGAAATAATTATACCAAATGCAATAAATCTTCGACTGATATGATATTTCTAAGTAAATTGATTAAAATCGATCTTATAAAGCTTACCATTGACTTGGGAATCTCGTAATAATCTTCTTTCAATTTAGTTTTAGGTTTAGCTATAGCCTCAATTTAAAAATGTTTTGGAACTGTTAAATAGTCCCAATCAGAAGGGACTGTGTGAGTACTAAGCATTGACATTGACATCTCATCTACTTGTTTTTAAAGCTCGGTTTGTGTATCGATTGTAAATGCCTTTTTATGATATCTTGAACCTCTGAAAGCTGCAACTGCTTTCTTGTAATCTGTATCATCTTCGAAAAGCATGTCAGTCTCTTAAATTCTCTTAAGTATATTAGCTTTAGTATCTTCAGCAGTAGTGCGCTAAAATCTACTTTCGTTTGAGATTAGATGTCTTTATGATTCAACTGATAACATCGTAATTAATGCCTTGGAATTATAGGTTGAAATATATTTAATTTTAATAATCTTCCATGCAACTTTTGTTATTAAGTTTTATTTCCACTTAATTGAAATACATGTTTTATAATTTGCTTTATTTATCCCTCTGGGGTTTTGGAATTTAAATGAATTTCAAAAATAAATATAGAGTGAAATTTTCTTGTAGTAAATAAATTATTTGCTCATAGTAGTTATAAAGTAATAATAATCTGGAAAATACATGGATGCATGTGTATCACTTGCATTTATAGCATATTAAGATTAGTTTTAACTCTGCAGTTCAACTCCTCAGAAGTCCTATCAGATTTTAGTTTGATAAAGCCAATCAGAATTCGAAGATCTGTAGCTTGCATCTCGCAATAGCTCCAGCTCATTTTCATCTACTACTCCAAATGGATTATCTTCCCTAGTATGGCTGGCATAATTGTTTGTTCTAGTGCTTCCAAGCCATTTTTCTAGTTCTTAATCAGCACTATTTGTGCTGACTCTGCTCTCTAAGATTAAGGTTTGCAAATTGGGTAGCTATTGCTAGTGATCCTATTAAGTGATCATCTGCTCTAGCCTTTCGTTGATCATGTCCTCTGATATCATTCTATTTATCCCGGCTATCTCTTTAACCATTTCATTGTCCTCGAAATCCCCATCAAATATCATCGCTAGCTCATTATAGTCTCTGCTTTTGCTCTCAAACAGCATTCGGTATGATTCTTATGTGCTTTCATTGCAGCTGTTCATTATGAATTCATGTATAAGTGCTATTTTAGCCTGAACCTTCAGTGATGAGTTTAGCAGAAGGTCAGGTAGTGCTTTATCTTGGGTCTTAGAAGTGATCATAGGTTTGCCGAAGTTGTGTGGAGGACTCTTTGACCTGGCTCTTCTCTAAAAACTCAAGTACTTTTTCTTGCTAACTTCATCCATAGGCGCTAATTCTTAATTAGGGTTGTCCTTGATATCTACAGTTAAAATTTCGAGCAGTTTATTTTGGCTTTTGACGAGGTTTATTTTAGATTCAATTTACTTCTCAATCTAACTCATCCTTGGCTTCATATTCAGTTCTTCTGGAGAGACATGCTTCGACTTGCTAACATAAATCTTATCACGAAGTACTCCTGGTGAACCTATAACCATTCTCTGATTGGTATTCTTTTAGTTTGAGTTGCTTTGAGAGTTGTCCTCTTCAATCTTTTCCTGATTTTTCACTTAGCTAACTCTCTTCAAGAAGTCGAATTCTCGAGGTTAAGGTCTTTTAGAATGACTGGGTTTTAAAGGATTTTGGTCTAGTTGGTTGTTTGCAAATTTTTTCAATGAAAAATATTCCATTTTTATTATTGTGTAAATTGTGGAATTAGGATTTAATAGTTTACATTTGTATATGAAACATAAGTAACTTACCTATGGGGTTTTGGGGTTTTGGGGTTTTGGGG